AACTTGTGCTTCTGTGCGATTGATTTAAATCAAAACTTGAGGAATGCCTTGTAATCAGTCAGCTATACCGGTGCACGCGACTCTTCTCATTCTTTTCTGCTTCTTTTACTCCGTTTAAAGCTTTTTTGCCATCGACGTCTCACATGTTTGTAACCATCACAGATGTTTACGTGATTGAATGCCCTGCAAAAAACAATGAAATAAAATTCCAAAATGTCCTCATTCGCGTGTGTTAATGTCACGAGCTCTTTCAGGGTCATCTCATGTTGTGTACCCTGAGAGTATTCGTGTATTCAACCAACTTACTTCGTTCCCGTTGTAATCATTTCCTCTGCAGGTTTGTCACCAAGATGTCTCGAGGTCATGATGAAATACCAAGAAAAATTACTCTTAACTGTCATTCGAAATTACGTGTCAGTTAAGTTTCTCTGATGAATTAGAGCAAAAGTACCAGCACTCAACACGACATACTACCACTAACCTTTTATTATTTGTGACCCTGTTTTTGTTCTTTGTAAGAATTTACCATATTTTGTAAATAACAGATTTAAGTAATTACTTAATTCTACTGCTGGAGCCAATTACGACAATGTGGAGATCAATCATGACAGAGCTCTACATTGGAATATTTTAGTTCAAGTAAACGAGAAAATTATTTTGTCTCAGTCAAATTTTAATTTATGCTCAAAAATAATTGCTTCTCAAATGCATAAAATACAATTGTAATTTCTTGAAGTAGAGATATTATTTTGATGAACTGGAAGTGTTATTATTTTCCATTAGTTTGATCATTTGAATAATTGCATCTTCATTTGGTGTTCAAAACTTCAATGTTTGAAGCACTTATTTCAATTCAATTTTCATGGTTAATAGCACATTATTTGTGCTATTAAATTCACTCAATCAAGATTGCTTGATTTTTCCATCAATTTTAGAATGAATTTTATTTTGAAAATTGGTCATTAGTTTATTAAGTGATAATTGCAATTAACAAGTCATTTCTCAATTCATTAATCAAATTTATTAAAAAATATTCGAATCTTTCATGACGTTTCCATGACAATTATCACCATTTTCATCAATACTGATCATTAATCATCATTACTTCTTCATTCATTAGTCTGCACTCGTTCTTCAGCATCATTGGCTCTGATCTGGTTGATGCTTCTAAATCTTTAAAACTGCTTAAAATAAATAAAAATTTTTGCATAATTTCAATTCAGTTCTAATTTGATAAAAGCCTCAAGCAACTTTTCATGATCAGTTTCATATTTTTAAAGCCTGTCAAAATGAATTGATGAAGAGAATTTCCTGACTTTCCTTGAGTAGTCAACAACGATTAATGTTGGATCCCATGACTTACAAATTAAACTTTTTTTAAAAAAACCGACATTTTCTCAGGTGGCATTAAAATAACCTTGTCCATTTTCAAGTTTCACATACTCAGCAATGCTGTCCAGTGCAGTTGGAAACAAAGAAAAATCGATCGACAGAGAGCTGAAGAAAAGTTCCCACAAGATCGTCTTCCGTGCAATAATAAGTCGAAGTATGAGGATCCTTAGTACAACATATGTGTAACACGAGGGGCGTATCCGGTCTTCTTTGCGGTCCGTCTACCGTGTTCGACAGTTCGTAGCCACAAGAGTGCTACCAAAGCATCATCCAGGAGCTTATTGCCCACCTTGGCCGTCAACATATACCATCTTTTTTTTCAATTCTCGATAATTACCACATCCTCTTGTATATCCACGTTAATTCCTGTGACGTTTTCTCAACATGTTTCCCATTTTATTGCAAATTTCATTTAATTTCCCATTGTTTTCACTTCATTATTTCTTCCAAGTAATAATCAATGGTGACCTTGATGTCTACTTTCATCAATAGGGTAAATGAAATGCTAGAAAGCATCCGATTCGTCATATCAATTTTCTTTGGGTTCTTTTTTAATCGTAAATCATTTATCTTCAAAAGTCACCATAGCTCAAAGTTAGTCTCAGTGATTTATGTCTGTTTTACTCAAGTAAGTACTGACAGTTGTCGATAATAGCTCATTACAAAATATGTTCAACTGTGTAAAAGATCTTGTAGACTATTATACGGAGACTAATTTACAATAAGATAATGTAGAACCACTCCTAGTTTGGAATCATTGAAATATTCATGAATGGAAGAGAAAAAATTAGCAATCGCTGATAAATGTTGCTTGAATAGCTAAATGAATAAAAATTTACAGCAATTAAAATCATGCTGTATTGTAAGTATTTATTTTTTCCAAGTTTCCTGATAATTGTCATGTTATCTTCAAATCATTTAGACATCAAATGATGCAAAATATTTAATACTCTTTCTGCCAGCTGTATATGATACCTTCGAGGTAACTGATGTATATAATTTGTTTATGTGTATATAAGTTTTTTATTTATTTAAAAAAGAGGGCTTGATTTTATATGTATCCATTATTAATAAATAATCAACAATTCATTCGTCAAAAAAAAAAAGTTCCTTGTAAAGAACTCATATGATTCAAATTAATTCCACTAGAATATTCTTTAAAGAAATGATAATAATAGATAGATGCAAAATTACATTTTTATATCAAAGTATTTTTACAGCTTTTTTGTTACTTTATTACTTTATGTATTTTAAACATATAATAAGTATTCAATGTCTGCATGACATGAATATCATAAGTGTCTATTTGAGTGTACATTCAAAAAAAAATTACTCAAAAGTGTAATAATAAAAAATTGATGAAAATTCATCTATTGTTGTGCTTAAAAAGGCACTGATGTTTAAAATGACAATAATAATAATTAAGTTCACTTGAAATTAATTTTAAAAAATAATTTTCTTAAACTTCAATACTTTCCCATGGGTTTTGATATATGCCGAAGACAATTTTCTACTTAAACCTTCCAAAAAATTATGAAACATTTGCCCTGAAGCGAATTTGTGTTCACGAGCAGTTCGCGCGGACAACAAGCGCGACGTTAGCATATGCAGCTCGCGTGCGTGCCAAATCGCGAGTAACAGGTGTGCCTGTAGGATGAAGCAAAGAAAGACAAAAAGAGAGACGAGAACAAGAAAAAGAGTAAAGAAGGAAAAGAAAAGAGGAAAAGGCGGTCGTTAGTCTGATGGTCAATGTTACTATTATGCATATGTAGATAACTATTATCATTTTTTCTTGCAATTAAGTCTGTCTGTTTCGCGGATCTGACTCCACCTATCATTTGTTTCGCTGTCAACGTGTGTTTTTTATTCATCCACTTTTATGAAACATGTGGTCATTGTCAATTCTTCAAGTACCTGCTCAAGAACAACAAATGAAGTTGAAAAACGGAAGGAACGACTTCATATAATCCTACCTTTTTTTAATATTGGCACCGTGGGATATAGGATATATACACTGAGAAAAAAATTTCCGCTATACAAAATGATGTTCATTTAATCAATAAAAATGATTTAAAATATTCGCAATAAAATATTCTATTAAATTGAACGAAATGTATTTTAATATTTGGTTTAAAATTATGGTAAGTTTAGACATAAGTGACATTAGATTAATTCTTACTTTCTGAAAGACTATGGATCTTAAAAAAAAATGAAAAATTTCATTTGTTAAAAAAATTATCACTTGCTCACAGTAATTTTTTTACTCAGTGTATTTAAACTTTTGTTTAAAGTATTTTGGAGTGTATTGACTATTCCACATTACTTCAGTCTATTTTAAAGTAATTTGAATGAATTGGTTACAACAAACCAATTAATAAGGAGTAATTATAAATATTGCCCCTAGACTCCTGAATCTCCTATAATCCTGTAAAAATAAAATATCTAAAATATTTTTTCCTTATGAAATTTTAAACTTAGAAATTTTTTATCTGATTTCGTAACTAATAGTATTATTTCATATATAAAATATGTCGACATACCGATATTTATTGTGTAACTTCATAAAAAATACTGCTGCTAAATGAAATTATAGCTCTATCGAAAAATGATATTCGAATAACAGCTATTAATTGATAATAACCGACATCTTAATCTAGAGATAGTTTTGTTGGTTATGAATGCAACGGTTTAAAATAGCGGCTGATTAAATAAAAAAATTGGTCAACTTGGGTCAAGTTGTATATTAATCCGCGTGACACTGCATCTTCTTCCACTCTTTACCGTTAAAGAGAAATGGTAGATTTTTTGAAAGAATATCTTCAAAATAGTACGAGTGGAAGATTTGAAAAACATTTGATGACGGCTACCTTTGAAAGTTACTCCCTCAAACCACTTATCATGAATACTAATAATATTGTTCGAGGGCCCAAGCCGAAATAAAAAATAAGGTTGATATAATTATATCTTCATCAACCTATTCAAACTAGTTTAAATTAAATTAATTCAAATCAGAATTAATTAAAATTTGGAATGATCGCATAAGAATTATATTCAATTAGATTTTGGAAAAATTGAGCAATTTATGTTAGACTACTTACGATGGGTAGATGTTTCAACACAACCTAAGATTGAGGTAAAATATTTATTTCATCTTCATCATAATTTCAGCAGTAAGTGCGTTACACGTTTTAATTTAACGTATATTCAATTGTCGGCATTATTCATCAACAAATATCCCGAATTTAGATCAGCTAATGAACGCTGACGGTCGTAAACAATTGATTACAATATGAATATTCCAGAAACCCTTTCTAACGCCACCTATGTTGTTTCATAGGAACTTACAGAAGCGCCAATTACGAAAAACCATAACTATTGATGATAAATAAAAAATTCAAATTTTTATCGATTTTTAAAATGATTAAAAAGTTGAGATACTTAGAAGTTGAATAATTAAAAACATTTTGACAATAAATTAAAATATCTTATTGGCAATTAAAATCATTTATTTTGGAGAAAGATATAACAGTTAACACATTAATGTGGAAATAATTCTCAAATAAATGAAGTATTTATGAAAAATGGTATTAAACTAAAAAAGTTCAATAGAGATTTGATAAAAAGTTTAATTCTCTCAGAGAAATATCTAAATTAATATTAATCAAAAAAAGAGATGTTAGCATATTATAAACATGCTAGTGATGTACAATGCTATTCTTACAATGCAACAGTTAACATTTAATTATTCATCTGGTCATTAATAATGATGGTGTCAAAATTTTACTGTTGAAGATTAAGTAATACACCTTGACCAGTAGGCAAATATGCTACTTGTCGGGATCTTGATAGTTGGTAAGCGATGTCTTCAGCAGCTTCGATTCTTCTAAGCTCAACAAGACCATCACCAGCATCTCCTAGAGATTTAGCAAGCAAACTTGCAGCTTGTGCATCACCTTCAGCACTAATAATTGCTGCTTTTTTCTGTTGTTCGGCTCGTTCTACTAAAAATCTAGCTTTTTCAGCTTCTTGTTGGGCTACTTGTTTTAATTCTACGGCTTGAGTAAATTCTTTGCCAAATGTTAAATGCGTCTAAAAAAGAAATCATCATTATTTTATAATTTTAGATCATTTTAAAGGTTCATTATTGAAGATAAAATTACTTACGATAGAAATATCATCAAGAATGACTCCAAATTGTGAGGCACGTTCAGTAAGATCTTCTCTCACTTTTTGGGATACCAGTTCTCGCTGCGTAATCAACTCACCAGCATCGAATTGTGCGACAACAGCCTTCAACACTTCTGTGGTGATAGAAGGCAATACTCGTTCGTCATAATCGACTCCAAGAACTGTATAAATCTTAGGCAAAGATTCAGGCATTGGTCTGAAGAGAATACGTAATGTAATATTGACGTTTTGTAAATCTTTACTTCCCGTCACTACGGGAACATTTCGTGGCTGTGAACGAATGTCAAAAATAATTGGTTTTTGTATCCAAGGAATAAAAAAGTGAGTTCCTTCACCAACTACATTTTTTTTAATTCCGGCAAATCTGTCAAAAATTACTGCTCTGTGACCTCCGTCAACTAAAATAAATAATCAAAGTATCATAAATTATTTTTTAGTTTAAATGTTAAGTTCGGTTTTAAAAGTATAATTTATTATTTTTACCATTGTATAAAGCTGAGTTCACAACACCTCCAGTAAGTGCTACTGCTAAACCAGCCTGACTTAGACGATTGAAGAAACCAGCAGCCATTATTCATAAATATTTCTGTAAATTGAATAGATTTATTTAAAAAACTTCACTTTTCTACGAAATTTTAATTTAAAAAATTCTTATAAATTAAAAATATTATTTAAACTATTAAATAAAAACCTAAAGAATAAAATATATTTAAAGCTCATTTTTAGAGTAGAAATTCAATATTGTTCTTTCTTTACACACATTAAAGTTCAAAGATGAACAAAACTCGTGCAATCACTACACACTTTACGCAAAGCAAGCATGTTTAATATGTAACCTCAAATTTATATAAAATTGGAGCTGCGTAATAAAGAGATGCGATGTCATCATCCAAATTACAGTGCAATCGATTAATTACACAGCAATCAAGAGGTTATTATTTAACAATATATACATCGTTCTAATAGGTAATTTTCATGAAATAATTAAAACTATGGATCAATCATAAACCGGTACCCAATTATTCAAGTCCTATGATTTTAAGTATTACAAAGCATAACATGTCAGAAGATTGTCTGAATCATTGACAATAACAATAAAGAACTTTAAAAAAAATAATTACCTTGTAAATCAGTATATAAATAATATTTTTTTCCTAAAGATTATTCGTCTTTTTTAATATTTTTTGGAAGAATTGTGAAGAATGGAGGTCACACGCCTCTTATCACAAAAAAGAATAATGGAGGCATTATCCTCTAGCGCCACATCTCAGGTATTTTGACAATGAAAATAAATATTAACTGTCGATATTAGAAAATGTTATCTGTTTGATTGGCATTTGATAATTTATTTGTAAAAATGAGGTAGTGGGAAATTTGAATTCAACATCAATGACAAAGTCAACATAACCCAACATAACCTGTCGACGATTGTTGTAACAGGTGAATAATAAATTTACAATATTTATAAACGTCAGTCTTACATTGAGATTTTGATTAATAAATTTTTTAAAAGACATTAAAAATGTCGCCAAGTATACTCAGATATCAAAATATGAATAAAATAATAAGTCAGCTGAGAAGAGAATTAAATCGGTCCACATCAATTACATTTCGACTAAATGACTACATTGCTCGAAATTATAGTCAGGTAAATATAATATTTAATAAAAAAATTAATTGTTTAATGGAGAATGCATGTTATGCAAAGAATAATTTTTTTTAATAATTATAAAGCTTAATTTTTATCTTAAAAAGTTACTCAATAAATGGATGATACGATTTACGTAATCACAGATGAAATGTTAATTTTAGAATTTTACTTTCTATATGTTGAATAAGAAACAAAAAGTAATTTCCATATGATGATCATGAAGATGATAATAATAAAATATATGTTGAAAAAACAAACGAAATCTTGGCTCCATATAACTTGAACTATACCGGGGGTCCTTTTCCTATTACATTTTCATCACTACTGTTTTCGTATTCACAAGATTAATTGAAAGATTATTTTTGATCATGTGTGAGTGCGTAAACTCGTCTGTCCACATTCCTGCTTATCATCTACACAAACAACTCGGTCACTGGTAAAACAAACTTTGGAGTCATAAATTCACTAACTGTATTAAGAACAGAAGCTCATATTCAATTTCATAATGGTTTGATCAAACATCATTATTATTTCTTATTTTTAAGATTTAATTCAATTCTTAGTAATAATTATTTTAATATTTTTGTTTAGGATGCTAAATCTTATCGTACTGAACGAGATACTTTTGGAGAACTTAAAGTACCATCGGATAAATATTATGGTGCACAAACGCTGAGATCTGTGATGAATTTTCCGATTGGTGATAAATCTGAACGTATGCCAGTAAGAAACCTTCATATTGATAAATATTTTATTAATTTAAACAATTCGCTGAAACAATAAAATTTTTTCAACATAGTATAGAGTTATTGTGGCAATGGGAATTTTAAAGAAAGCAGCAGCTGAAGTAAACAAAGAATTCGGACTCGATGCAAAAGTTGCCGACGCCATCAGCAAAGCTGCAGATGATGTAATCAGTGGCAAATTGTATGAAGATCATTTTCCCTTGGTGATATGGCAAACAGGATCTGGAACTCAAACCAATATGAACACAAACGAAGTGATTTCTAACCGTGCCATTGAAATTCTTGGTGGTGAATTAGGCTCTAAGAAACCTGTACATCCTAATGACCATGTAAACATGTCACAGAGTTCCAATGATACATTCCCTACAGCTATGCACATTGCCATTGCCTTGGAGATAAACCAAATTTTACTTCCTGGATTGAAACAACTTCATGAGGCACTTAAAAGCAAATCTGAAGCTTGGAAAGATATAATTAAAATTGGAAGAACACATACTCAAGATGCTGTCCCATTAACGCTAGGTCAAGAATTTTCAGGCTATGCTACACAAGTTGAATATGGAATTGCAAGAGTTAAAGATACTCTTCCACGACTTTATCAGCTTGCTTTGGGTGGTACTGCCGTAGGAACTGGACTTAATACTAGAAAAGGATTTGCAGAAAAAACTGCAGCAAAAATTGCTTCTCTCACTGGCTATCCTTTTGTTACTGCTCCAAATAAATTCGAAGCATTGGCGGCACATGATGCTGTTGTTGAAGTTCATGGTGCTCTCAATACTGTTGCTGTATCACTTATGAAGGTAACATCTTTTTCTATCAACATTTACTATCTATTTTTATTAAACAAAGTGTTGTAAATATTCTTTTCAAACAGATTTTAATTAAAATTTATTATTTTTTTAAAATATAGATTGCCAATGACATCAGATTCTTAGGAAGTGGACCACGTTGCGGCCTTGGAGAACTATCTCTTCCTGAAAATGAGCCTGGAAGCTCAATTATGCCAGGAAAGGTAAATCCAACTCAATGTGAAGCACTTACCATGGTCTGTGCTCAAGTGATGGGTAATCATGTAGCTGCCAGTGTTGGTGGTAGTAATGGACACTTTGAACTGAACGTCTTCAAACCTATGATGGTTGCCAATGCTCTACGATCAGCTAGATTACTTGGAGATGCTTCTGCTGCATTTACGAAGAATTGTGTTGTTGGCATTCAAGCGAATGTGGACAACATTAAGAAGATTATGAATGAAAGTTTGATGCTAGTCACTGCCCTTAATCCTCATATTGGATATGATAAAGTAAATATGAATAAAAATTGTAATTTTAATTATCTGTTAATTATTTTTACTTTATTTCAGGCCGCTGCAATTGCTAAACAAGCTCACAAAGAAAAATTGACTCTTAAGGAGTCTGCATTAAAGAATGGTCTAACTGAAGAACAATTTAATCAGTGGGTAAGACCAGAACAAATGTTAGGACCAAAATAATTGAATGGTATTGAATCAACAACGGTTAAAAAAATCAAGTGATATAAAAGAAATTATAACGAGTGATTATAACAATAAAAAACTTTTAATTATAACATATCAGTATTTAATTTATTTACAAATATCTATTGATCCTTTTTGGGAATTGTAAACGTATTAAAAACGTCTTCGTAATTCGTATCTAATAATGTGACTTTCAAAAGTTTATGATGTCCTTCATTATCACTGCTAAACCAGTACTTTAAAAAACCTTGATTTTTTGGACCTTCTACTCCAAGCATAATCCATCTCCACTTTCCTTCCATCCCGCTACTTTCAGATGATAAAAAATTAAAACTTTTTTCAACAATAGGTTCGCCTAAATATTTCCTAGGCAACTCTTCTGAATGTAAAATTTTTATAGCTTCTTGATAGGATGTGGTACTTTTTATTTTGTTATCAAGGGAAGAACGAAAAAACATAAGAGTTGTAGTCATTGTGATACTTCCAACCATTAATATCTTGAAGGCCGGATGTTTTAATTTTGCTCGTGACATTTTTATTAACAATTTATTTTTAAAATATTTGTTAATAATACAATATTCTGAAATGTAAATTTATATTTTTTATTATTTCATACTTATTAAATCATTGTAATAAACAAATAATTATTCCAACCTTAAACGTCAGTTTTCTTGATTTTTTTTCCAAAGAATGACTTATTCCAAAGAATATATTGAATTAGTTATTGAATTAATTCAATAAAACTTGAAAAATATTTATTTTGATGACACTTTTCGAATCTACACATTTCTTTCATTTTCTACAAGAAACGTAAACTCCCGGTGTTTTTTATGAAAATTATATAAGAAATTTGAAGACACATGTGAATGCATCATGATCTCCTTTTCGGCTTGAATGCATTTGTAGTTTCCGAGGTCATCATCAGATCAGATGGAGTTTTGATCAATTCATCAAAAATATCAGTTCCTCTCGGATTATAATAAGCTATCGACAGTTAGTGTTGAATGTGTAGTAGTCGATAAAGTAACATTCACGTAATAAATATCGATGCATGATAAGCAGACAAGAGGCTCTCGTCTGGGGAAGCTCTAAGCGAACAAATGAGGAGTTACCATCTGAGAATAAGACCTGAACCGCATCTAAACCTAATGAACTATCTACATTATCATCAGAACAGTGACTCTCACAGACTACTAAGCGAGAGACCTGAGAAACCAGAGATCGTTTTTTACATGAGAGCACGCATTATCTACCAACAATAGCGATTTGCTGATCGCTGAGATTCCTAAGCCTCTATTTTTGAAGTGAAAACTTCTTTAGGCGCGTTGAGCGTTTTGGTAGAGTGTAAAATCCTCGGTTCGCGTCACCGACATGTTAATGATAATAGTATATCTATAGCTATGGAGAGCCAGACTAGCGCACGCGCAGTAGCCTGTGTACACGTATACACTAATACATCGACTATTTCTGACTGTATTATGTGCGCGTTGGACGTTTTTTTGGATAGGTATAACGACCTAAATTTTCATAACTCACAAATTGCAGGTCCATCAACATTTTTATTTCTTATTTCAGTTACCATAAGCCTATTGTATCTTTTTTAGAATACCATGAAATGATTGAACGAACAGATAATCTAAGTATTGTCGAAATTAATGATGATAATGATGTAAATAATGTTCAAACTTGAATTAATTGAAATTCGTGTAAATATAAATACTATGTATAATTAAGATAATTGTATATTAATTATTATTTCAACCAGTTTGTATTTATATTTTGTCCATGATTTGTTTAACCCATCATATGTAACTAATAAATAAAAAATAAAAAATTTCATATAATTTTTGCATATAATTTCAATTAGTCTTAACTTAATAGTTCCGTTTTCACTTCTATCAGCAGTCCCACGACTGCCTGAATTTTTTTACAGTTATCAGCACTGAGTCTACTTCTTCTCCCAAGTTAAACGAGTCCGAATCTTCTCTTGAAAAATCTGAGTCTGCATTCTCTATCGCCAAGAGCCATCTGCTTAAGGCAGCATCAATGGAGAGTAAATCATCTACATTGAGGAGTAATGTAACTCCTCAGATAAGTCTTTAAGATAATGAATAAATAAATAAATTTATTTTAAAATTGATGGGCTTCATTTTTCTTTGAGACAAATCCTTATCCCTTCTTACATTCCGGTAGTTGCGTTCAATATCTTTTTCTTGTACGCAACTCTTTCTAGGCTTCACGGTACAAAGTTTAATTTTGGCTTGATCGTAAGTCTTGAAATTATAATTTATATTTGAATCATGATATTGAATATTGTTTAAATAGTCTTGATAAGAACATTGAAGGAAAAATTATAGCCTACGTTTGTCAATGTAAATTGTTTATAACAAATTTAATTGTTATAAACAATTTAAAACGGGTTCTATGCAATATATTTGAGTTCTTTCAACGCGTAATTTTTTCTTTTACTAAGTTAAAGTTACAAACTGTGTAACATGAATAAAAACTTACTCCTTTTGTTTATAACAATTGAAAATTAGTTCTATGCAATATATTTAAGTTCTTTCAACGCGTAATTTTTTCTTTTACTAAGATAAAGTTACAAACTGTGTGATATGAATAAAAATCTACTTTTGTTACTTATTAATCGGCTTAAATATTTTCAAAATTTCATGTTTCTATGAAATTTTAAGAGTCACGCCAAGTCTTTTGTTGTTATGTTAATTTTGTCATTAACCGTACTAAATTTATTTTCAAAATAAAAACCGAAGAAAAAAATTCATTTTAAATATTGTTAATATTTAGATTTAATTTAAATACTTGGACGAAGTCGCGAGAATTTGCTAGTCCTAGTAAATAAATGTTTTTTTTGTTCTGCATTATCATTCATAGTTTGTTCAACGAAATTGCCATAAAGATAAGTATACATATTATGAATATAACGTAGAAGTAAGGTTTTCTTCTAACTATATTGCTGCGTACCAGATACAGTGACGCTTTCTCGAGTGCGGAGTGGAGGGGAGTAGTCGGTCGTCGTGCTGCGATCAGCTCTCTTACGCTGCACGTGACTAACATGAAAATAGTCGAGTTAAAACAGTTGAAAAGCAAAAACATCTGAAAACTACAAACAGATGAAAATCTCTTTAAACAGTTGAAAGTCTGAAATGTTTTGAATGTCCTAAACAGTTGAAAGTCTTGAAATGTATTGAATGTCTTAAACAGTTGAATATCGGACGAATATAATCGTTGTTGAGCATAACAATATATACTAACGTAACATAGCCACGAGTCGATGTCGTAGACTGAATGACTCTTATGTGGTGAATCGTCGGAAGGCGTTTATAATTGTTATATGTATACTTTTAGTTGCATTTAACTAAAAACAACAGAAATGTTACACTCACTTCAGTCCTAGTACGAATAGTAAAAATTTTTTTACTACGTACACGAAATATAACCAAGTCGCTAACAGTAATAGCTAGCGAGAGTAAATTTTTTAATAAATTTAGAAAAAGAGAGTGTTTGAACTTTTCTTCTACATTCATATCAATGAATGTTTGAATTTTTAAAGTATAAAAGTGTTGATGGAAACATCAGTTTTCACTTACAACACAAAATATGTGTTACATAGTAAGACTTCAATACAGTGTATTTGTCTACTATGTTAAAACACATATTTTTGAGAACGAATGTGTGTGTATAAACACATTACAAAGTTCCCTGGTTGATCCTGCCAGTAGTGATATGCTTGTCTCAAAGATTAAGCCATGCATGTTTAAGTACATACCGAATTACGGTGAAACCGCGAATGGCTCATTAAATCAGTTATGGTTCCTTAGATTGTACCCACATTTACTTGGATAACTGTGGTAATTCTAGAGCTAATACATGCAAACTAGAGTTCCAACCAGAGATGGAAGGAACGCTTTTATTAGATCAAAACCAATCGGTGGTCTCGGCCATCGTTTACTTTGGTGACTCTGAATAACTTTTAGCTGATCGTATGGTCTCGTACCGACGACAAATCTTTCAAATGTCTGCCTTATCAACTGTCGATGGTAGGTTCTGCGCCTACCATGGTTGTAACGGGTAACGGGGAATCAGGGTTCGATTCCGGAGAGGGAGCCTGAGAAACGGCTACCACATCCAAGGAAGGCAGCAGGCGCGCAAATTACCCACTCCCGGCACGGGGAGGTAGTGACGAAAAATAACGATACGGGACTCATCCGAGGCCTCGTAATCGGAATGAGTACACTTTAAATCCTTTAACGAGGAACAATTGGAGGGCAAGTCTGGTGCCAGCAGCCGCGGTAATTCCAGCTCCAATAGCGTATATTAAAGTTGTTGCGGTTAAAAAGCTCGTAGTTGAATCTGTGTGCCACACTGTCGGTTCACCGCTCGCGGTGTAAACTGGCATGCTTGTGGGACGTCCTACCGGTGGATTTAGCTTTAGTGTAAAAACTAAAGCGGTCCAATAATCCTGTCGCGGTGCTCTTAATTGAGTGTCGAGATGGGCCGGTACGTTTACTTTGAACAAATTAGAGTGCTCAAAGCAGGCTTATTATCGCCTGAATACTGTGTGCATGGAATAATAGAATAGGATCTCGGTTCTATTTTGTTGGTTTTCGGAATTCCGAGATAATGATTAATAGGGACAGATGGGGGCATTCGTATTGCGACGTTAGAGGTGAAATTCTTGGATCGTCGCAAGACGAACAGAAGCGAAAGCATTTGCCAAAAATGTTTTCATTAATCAAGAACGAAAGTTAGAGGTTCGAAGGCGATCAGATACCGCCCTAGTTCTAACCATAAACGATGCCAGCTAGCGATCCGCCGAAGTTCCTCCGATGACTCGGCGGGCAGCTTCCGGGAAACCAAAGCTTTTGGGTTCCGGGGGAAGTATGGTTGCAAAGCTGAAACTTAAAGGAATTGACGGAAGGGCACCACCAGGAGTGGAGCCTGCGGCTTAATTTGACTCAACACGGGAAACCTCACCAGGCCCGGACACCGGAAGGATTGACAGATTGATAGCTCTTTCTTGATTCGGTGGGTGGTGGTGCATGGCCGTTCTTAGTTGGTGGAGCGATTTGTCTGGTTAATTCCGATAACGAACGAGACTCTAGCCTGCTAAATAGACGTATTTCTGGTATCTTGAAGGTCTACAGTTTTCGGATTGTAGATTTTTACTACCGACGTACTAAAACTCTTCTTAGAGGGACAGGCGGCTTCTAGTCGCACGAGATTGAGCAATAACAGGTCTGTGATGCCCTTAGATGTTCTGGGCCGCACGCGCGCTACACTGAAGGAATCAACGTGTCTTCCCTGGCCGAAAGGCCCGGGTAACCCGCTGAACCTCCTTCGTGCTAGGGATTGGGGCTTGCAATTATTCCCCATGAACGAGGAATTCCCAGTAAGCGCGAGTCATAAGCTCGCGTTGATTACGTCCCTGCCCTTTGTACACACCGCCCGTCGCTACTACCGATTGAATGATTTAGTGAGGTCTTCGGACTGATACACGGCAATGTTTCGGCATTGCCGATGTTGTTGGAAAGATGACCAAACTTGATCATTTAGAGGAAGTAAAAGTCGTAACAAGGTTTCCGTAGGTGAACCTGCGGAAGGATCATTAACGTATTAACAAATTTCATATAATTTGTATTACAATAATAATAAAATAATAAATGTGTTAACACACAAACAATTTTATACTCAATATATATGCAAACAAAATGATATTTTCATGGTAACCTGTTAAAAGTAATTCTTTTTTAAAATGAAAAAGAATTTACTGTGGTTTTTAAATGAATATTCGCCATGATTTTTCATATTATATTGAGTTTTTTTTTTTAATGCCACTACTATTTATT